AAATAACATGAATGTGGCTTCTCCTTTGTATGAACTCTCAGGTGATTCTTCAGGACTGAAGCTCTCAAAAATGTTTTGCTGCATTGATCACAGGTGTACAGTTTCTCTCCAGTGTGAATGTTCATGTGTCCTTTGAGGGTTGATGATCGTGTGAAACTCTTTCCGCACTGATCACAAGTGAATGGTTTCTCTCCAGTATGAACTCTCATGTGAACATCAAGATGACGTTTGTTTGTCAAACTCTTTCCACACTGAGTGCAGGTGAAAGATTTCTTGGCCCTTCTTTTCTTTAAATCATTCTGTTTGGGTTTTTCTCCTCAGATTCACTCAATTCTTCTTTCTCCTCATTATCTTCAATCAACTCTGAAACAAAGTAAAAAAACAGTACATTTGTCAGTAACTCATAAAAAAGAAAAAAAAAACAGAAAAGTGAAAGGACATAAAAACAAACCCTGATATAACAGCGGAAAGCAGACAATTGCACTACAAAAGTTTGTTTAATCTTATGATTGTGAAGTTTCATTAACTGTTTTGTCTGTATGAATAAGAGATAAGAGGGAATGTTTATGGAAACTCGAGGTTTATGAGATGTTGTTGTATTTGGTAAAACACTACTTGTTGGATGTGTGCTGGTTAGACAAAGTCTGAGCACTGAAACACACACAACTAAGATTTTTCAATAAGCTTTGCTTAATTATCTGGCGTTGAGACTCAATCTAACATACATTTTGTTGAAAAAAAAAAGTACCTAGTTCATAGGAAGTGTCCCTTATTATTTGATGCTTCAGCAAAATTATTCAACAGCTCTAAAGAATTTTCCAATTACAACAAACAAAATATAAAACTGTGACATTTTATAACATTCAGCCTCATTAATGAAGAATAGACACCAACCTGTTTGTTCTTCAGTATCTTCAGTGTGTTTGATTCTGCAGGGTTCTGGATCTCTCATCTTCTCTCTGTCCTCTTTAATAAACTCAGTCTTTGCAGATTTCAGCTCTTCCTGATGATTAGATGCTCGTCTTCATTTGTGAACTGATGGAGATATTCCAGCTGAATTTCTGTGTGGAAAATCAGATTTGCCAAAATAAACAAATCAAAGAGGCATTAAGTGTTGTCTCTTTGTAAATCATTACATTACTATTGGCGCTTTTCCACTGCGTGGTACGACTCGGCTCGGTACGGCTCAGTACGGAA